CAATAATTATTCTTATAAGAGGCACAGACAATAAACTTCGTGAGCTAATAATTTATTATATTAGGGTTGTAAACACGGTCCCAATTCCTCAGACCTTCAAAAAGAAACGGAAAACACACACACAGAGACACGCACGTATATCGGTAAAGGCACGTCAAGCTAAATGACTGTTCCGTATAGGATACAGGTTCGAATCCTGTCGGAGGACGAATATTTTCTGTGAAAATTTCTCGGATATTCAGGCCGGTAAATGTTGTTTAATACTGTTTATTATAAACAAAGCATTTACTTAAATATTTGTATCTATAAAAGAATGTATAAACATAAAAATGTCTTATTATATATATATATATATATATATATATATATATATATATATATATATATATATTTAATTTACGTGTTATAACATTGTAAAAGGTTTAAATCCATCTCTTATCTCTTATCCCCCCACCAGCTCAGGGTAAATACCAGACCAGTCTTGATTCTATACAATTGAATAACTCTGAATTCAAAACCTGTGAGACCGCTTTTAGACTTGGAAGCATGCTGCGCAACAGTTTTGTGTATATGGCGCTTCCAAAATATATGATCAGTTCTGCAGAACCTTTCACCTTTATGATCAATTCTTATTTGTGGTTAGTCAGGCTGTTTGATTCGAAGAATTGGGCTGCGGGACACTTATACGCCAAAAATACAGCAACGGACTCCTTCATATTTGGATATGCCAAAAGATTTAGATTTCCAGTTTCTAAACGTAATATATATTCATGTATTAAGGTATATAATGCGTACATATTTATGATATATCGACAAGGAAACTACATTTTAGCAAAATTTCTGTGGAAAATCAATCCTTAAATAAAAAGAATAGAGACAGTATGAAAGAAGTAATGATACGTTAAAATACTAGCAGCATGGACCGGCGTTGCCCGTGCTTGATTCAAAAATCATACGACTCATACATCAATCGCTATCACTTGAGTTAAAATATTTTGCCCTTTGCCCTGCTGATGTTGCTACGTGCCTTACTTCTTACCTATCTCACACTGCGATTTTTTTCTAAGTTCTATACTAAACATTAAATCTGTTACGGAAAAAGAACTAAACAAAATGAACACAAAACGATCAGCTTTAAAAAAGGACTCGTAACTAGAAAAACCGAATGAAAAAAGAATGTTAACAACAAATACTTTTTCATACCCAACCCAGTTCTGCGGAATCAGAATCAACGTTGAATTTAAGCAAGCGCCAATGAGCCAATTGGAGTAAAGTGCCATGCAGATTTAAATTTTTCCCACTTGTGACGAATGCAACTATCAACTTTTTTGCATGCTAGTAAACATTCGTGTCAGTCAGCTGTTGGCTCTCACGCTGGCCAATAGAATCTTACTGTCTATTCGTGGCAGCCTGCTATAGGCTCTCACTCTGGCCAGTAGAAAATGGCCACAAACTACATGAAAACTGCCGTAGAAGCATGAAAAAATCGATTATTTCCACTATCGATGAGAGTTGGGAAATACAAGTCGGTCTTGGCCTTCCCACAAACTTGGAGCATGTGCATGTAAATTTTGGTGCAAATTCGTCGAAAATTGCGGCTGTGCATTCGCTACACACACACACACACACACACACACGTACACACTCACACATACAGACACACTCACACATACAGACACACTCACACGCACATAAACATACTGCCTTTTATAGATAGAGATGAAAGTAACTCCAACACAAATAGCAGAAGACAATGAAGCAGAAGAAGAAAGAATAAAGGAGTCGAGGGAAGAGAAGAAAGAAAAAAAAGAAAGTAAAAAAAAGAAAAAATAAAGAAAAAGATAATAAAGAAACAAAGAAACAAATGGAAAGAGCGAAAGTAGGTAAAAGGAAAATAAATATAGAGAGATAGAAAGAAATGAGAAGGAAAGAAAGAAGAGGAGGAAGAGGAGGGAATAAAATAAATCAGGAGCGATAAGAAAGAAAGAAAAAAGAAAAGAAATTCAGAAAGACAGACATGAAAACAGAAGAAAGGGAATAAATTTGGATAAAATTGAAAGAAGAAAGAAAGTTTCTAAAAAAAAAGAAAAGTGAGATAAAACAAAGAAAGAAAGAAGGACGAAAAGGAAGAAAGAAACAAATCAGAAACGCGAAGAAACAGGGAAATACCAACAAAAATTGGCAGGTGAATCGAAAAACAAAAATTTAACAGGCAGATAAGTGATAAAATGTCCTATTGTACAGACATTCCTAAATGAATAGCATAGACCTATGGAGAAAAAAAAACGACTTTTCTTTCTTGCCAGAATACATGGTACGATTTTAAAGAAAATAATGGTACATTAAAGCAACAAATGCAGAATAAATCGGAAATGGTATTGGGTAACGCCACTATTTTTCGTTTTATTGTGCATTTGACCTTAAGTATTAGCAGGATAATTTATAGCCAATGATATTGCTTGACCTGAAGGGATAAAGACGCAAATAGATATTAATTTTGATGCGATAAGAGAATAATGATAGGGGGAGCTTTGTTTGAAACTTTGGTCAAGTCACGTAGAAACCCTGAAATTAAACAACATTGAACGCAGTCAGTAATTAGACGTTTTACGACTGAGGAATACCAAATTCTGGAAGCAGCTTCTGTTCTTGTGCCAAAGTAAGTAAAGCTATATTAATAAATTGATCAATAGTTAAACGGATTACTGTTAAGGAACATCAGATAAGCGTAGCATTGCTATCATAGAAATAAAGCTATGTAAGAAAAACTGAGTAGCAATTTGATTGGTCGCTTTGAAGTTCAGGTAGTGCATGCAGTTTTGGTTTTGTGTTAGTCTCAGTAAATTTATGTAAATAAATTTTTCAGTATATTTTTCATTAAAATTCACTCTATACACAGGCCAAGAGCCATTCAAGGCAGTGTCTTATTGAATGCAGTGTGAAGAGAAAGTAAGAAGTTAAGATTACGAGAATAAGGAGGATAAACGATTACTGATAGAATGGTGTTGAGCGGTCTCTGACTGCGCACGCCTTCTGTCGAACTCTCTGCGTTAGCAGAGAGGAACCCGGACGAGGCTTTGCCGACAGGCAAGGTTTCGTCCGGGGAGGTAGACAGGGCCTGAACCCGTCTAGGCGGGTTCAAAGGCTATATTTTTGGCCGGGCCTACGGGCTCGGGGATACCCACATTAAAACCGGCCTTGTGCCATATTCGGTCCTCGTGGGTGGAACGATAAATACTAAACGATTACTGACCCGAAACTTGAAGATGTTAAAATTGTTGTGTTATGGGAGGCAAACATGGAGTTGATTGATTGATTTCTTTTTAGTGCTTATCAACCCTTTGTTGGTTATTTAAAACCGGAGCTTGGCTTGTATAAATAATTCTTTTATTTACCAATGAATATTTCGTTAACAATTATTTTAATATCAATGATTTTTTTCAGATACAAATCCTACTATTTAACCCATAGATGGGGGGCGAAGAGATAGGTTCAAACTAAGGGTCTTTGTGCGTAAGTAAACGTAATGATATCGACTGAAATTCGAACTCGTTTCCCCGATTTCTCATTCCCAACCGCTATCAATTACACCACCCGCACATCTGCATCCACACAGGCGTCTGTTTCAGAATGTAGCTGTTCTTAGAAATAATCTTTCAGAGTGAAATACCCTTTTTACTAAATGAATGCGTAAAGAAAGATGTAATTCAACGCGGTGGACATAGAAAGGTGGGACATAGATGTCTCAGCTGGGGACACTAAAGACCATTTACCATGGAAGTAGCGACAGAATCGCGATTGGCTTGCGACGTTGCGTGTAGGTACTGTAAAATAAGTTACGTCCCATGAGGCTGCGGAAATGCTTTTGAACTCCAAGATGTAAAGTGAGGATTGGGCAGTTGTTGAAGCAATAATCAATTTCTGGTCGGATCTGACCCTTGCATTTCGGAAAAGGGTCAGGATCTTTCCTAGAACATTATAAGCAGCCGGCTATTTTCCTAGCTTCTTTACCAATGAATTGTTTAAAGGCATTCCGTTTGAGGTTTGGAGTGATCTTGAGTCCCACTAAACGTTCAAACAAGGATATTATGGACTGCACTGTGTAATACTGGATACTCTTGGGAGATTAGGGCGCTAAACGAGGCTAAGTAAAGTTTTATTAAAGGAATTGTTGATGAATACTGAAGAACGACGTATACTGTCAGTAGGCTATAGCATTTTGTGAGTTTAGATGAAAAATATGAAAAAAAAAACAACATATAATTGGATGGATCTCTGCTGGAGAAAATACCGTTTATTTTGATTGGTTAACAAAGTTGAAATGACGGATGAAGTTGTATAAACTCTCTTCTGATAGGTATGAATCTACGATTTCCTGTCACACGTTCCATCACCTCATATTTTCACAGCACTATACACACACACACACACACACACACACACACACACACACACACACACACACAGAGAGAGAGAGAGAGAGAGAGAGAGAGACAGATAAACAAGCATGTGATATCGGTTGCTAGGGATAAGAGAATACTGAATCATTATATATGGTTTATCAAGAAAACTCTAGTGGAGTGTTTGCCGATCTGGCATAAAAGTTTCCATTATAGAGTTTTAAGAGTTGCTACCATAATAATAGTGTAAATATATAATTAGGGAAAAAAACGAGCATAAATTGCTGGTAACTCTGCAGTAGATTTAGGAAAACTAAAGGGTGAAGTTTGTTTTAATAAAGAGCAGAACTACTGCACAAATGTTGTTGAGATGTGTTTGCTGAAATGAGATATTTAAATATTGTTGAATTGTGTTTGTGCTTACAAAGAATTATTTATGCATGAGTGATGGTGTAAATATTGATGTTAGCGTCATTTTATTTTTCTGTTAATATGAAAGCAATCTGACTTTTTTAATGCATTATTTTGTTGCCATTTACGTGAATAAAAATGAAAATACACACAATAGTATTGTCATAAACACATGAGATCAATACTGTTTTAAACCAATTCTGGAAGTGGGGTGCGGAAACTGGTTGGTGGTTTGAAAGGGATGAGAGAGCTGGTTGATGGTTTGAAAAGTGTGCAAGAACTGGTTGGTGGTTTGAAAGGGTAGCGAGAATTTGTTGGTGGTTTTAAAATGGTGAGTGAACTGGTTGATGGTTTGAAATAGGTGCAAGTACTAGTTAGTGATTTGAAAGTGATGCAAGAACTGGTTGGTGGTTTGAAAGGTGTGAGAGAACAGTTTGGTGGATTGAAAGGTGTGAGAGAACTGGTGGCTGATTTGAAAGGGATGAGAGAACTGGTTGATGGTTTCAAAGGTGTGCAAGAACTGGTTGGTGGTTTGAAAGGTGTTAGAGAACTTGGTGGTTTGAAATAGATGAAAAAACTGATTGGTGATTTGAAAGGGGTGTTAGAAATGGTTGGTTGTTTTTGAAGGGGTGAGAGAACTGGTGGTTAGTTTGAAAGAGGTGTGAGAATATATATATATATATATATATATATATATATATATGTATATATATATATATATATATATATATATATATATATATATATATATATATATATATGTGTGTGTGTGTGTGTGTGCGTGTGAAAATATATAGAAAATAGGAAAGAACTCGTTAGGTAAATAATCCAAAGTTCTTTAGTATTTTTGTTATTTTAAAAAATAGTGCTCGATACAAAAGTAGAGCACAAATATAATTATTTATTTAAAAATATGATTCCAACACGCTACATAAGAGTTCTCATGTGTCAAAACAAGAGCCTTAAACTTCAATATAATTATTTGAATTAAATCGAATTAAAGTCTTAAGCTCTGTTCCAACTTCAAGCGAAATTTTCTTTGGATTTTTTTTGGAATTTTTTTTGGAATTTTTTTCCCAAAAAAATTTCGCTTGAAGATGTAACAGAGCTTCGTACTTTAATTCAATTTAATTCAAATAATTATAATGGAGTTTTCGGCTCTTGTTTTGAAACATGAGAACGCTTATGTAGCGTGTTGGAATCATATTTTTAAATAAATAATTATATATATATATATATATATATATATATACTAAAACTCTCCTACTCACTTTCATTTAAAAGACATTGAAATGCATCACTTCACGTCCATAAATTTCCCTGATTTTCCGCTAATCTTAGGAATATTCATGAGCACCCCAACACCAAATTTAAAAAAAATAAATAACATTTATTCTTGTATATGAATACTTGTCATGAAATAAAATCTTTACATTTTCCTTTATAAAGTCGCTCTATCTTTATTCATATTGTCTTTTTACAGATATAACTCTATCTGAAATTTCTACAAACATTCGGACAGTTTTTATATAGTTTATCATCTGAAAAGTAAAAAATCGCATTAGATCGCATGATAAATTGTATAAAAAACTAAATCAAAGCAACTTGTTTGTCGGATTCAATGAAATATCCATATCCCCCCCATATATATATATATATATATATATATATATATGTACATATATATATATATATATATATATATATATATATATATATATATATATATATATATATGTATGTATGTATATATATATGACGATCTGGGTGACTTACACGGAATTTCGAGCTGAACACTTTCTTTAATAATGCATGGAAATAGACCACTTGAAGCTTTGGTTCGTGGGCAGTGGAGCGATAAAATATACCCAGGTAGATTACACCACCCACACACCCAATTTTACAGCACCTAGTATTTCCAAAGTTTCACCCATCTATGTACTGACCAGATTCGACGTTGCTTATGTTTGGTGATCGTACGGGCAAATGTGTTTCAACGTGATGCAGCCGTAAGTCCTAGTACTTCCTCATTTCAAACCTGATCTTCACGATGAATTTGTTGGCGTATTTCGGGTGTCGTTTGAAGGTAGTTGTTTATTCGGAATTCTTGGCTAAGAATATTGTGATAAAATGAAACGAGACGCAAAAGAAATGTAATAATTGGCTTATAGATGAGTGCCCGACAGAATGATAAAGAGGGAAGCGAACTGACTAGGAAGGTAGTTAAATAATGCGAGACGTCGGAAAGCAATATGTCAATTCGATTTGAGCTTTGACCATGGACGCGACATTTTCCATTGGATGTAACCTTTCAAATGTAAATTATTCGATCTTACTTATAAAATGCTGCAACTTTTAAATGACAGTTTTGACATTTTCAAAATCGCTACGTCATATCAACGATGATACTTTCATTTTCATTAACGATGATACTTTCATTTTCAACTAAGTTTAACATAGTCAGCGTAAAGGCTGAGCTAGTTGTGCATTTTTCTCTTGAGGTTTTCTGTAGGTTTAATGCAGGAGAATCTCACTTGTAGATCTGACATTCAACAGTGGTTAAAATCCGTATTACCTTTTGTCTTGTTATATTACTAGTATAACTCGTACTAATTATTTATCTTTTATTATTTACCATATTTAACATACATTGATAGAAAGCTTCTACCTGGGCAATTCATATGGAAATGTTGTTACCTCTGTTGACAATTTATCCAATCTATTCTACTTAATATATCGAGACATAACATCCAAGTTCACTATATATATATATATATATATATATATATATATATATATATATATATATATATATATATAAAAATTCTCATATTTTTATGCAAATGGCAATCATCAAGCGAAACTGATGATTGCTACTGCATGAGACACTGAGTGACGGATTTGGCATTATTATTATATGATTTAGGCTCTGTCGATTTTGGCATTAAGCCCTCAGTTTATTTTACTATTTGTGCATATATATATATATATATATATATATATATATATATATATATATATATAAGCAAATATATAGATATAGATACGACAGTATGAAGAAAAATATACTGAAAAAAACAAACAAAAATCCTAATATGCGATTATGCTGTTTTAATGTGTAATATCAACGTCGGACGTTACGGTCTAATAGACCATCTTCAGGACATATTCATAAAACATAATTAACATAGACCATATACAATTCAACATGAAAAAGACGATGGGCATAAAAGCAATACCAATCCAAACAGATAACTGAAATATCTGTTTGGATTGGTATTGCTTTTTTATAAAAAAATATAAAAAATATTTTTATTTTTACAAAATAGTGCTCAATGTAACGTTGGAAACGTGAATTATGATTTTAGCCGTGTCTTTAAAACCCAGTAATTTTAAAAGTTACTCCAAAATTCGCTTGAGGATGAAATGGAACTAATGTCTTTAATTTAATTACAAAATTAAATTCGGAGCTTTTAGCTTCCATTTTTGAAACATGGTTAGAATTGTGTTGCGAAAAAAAATATTTTAAATCAATTAATTTACAATATATATATATATATATATATATATATATATATATATATATAACATGGAATCAGAATTAAGATAAATTTATGCAAATGATTAAGATACCATTATGTAAATTTTAACCATGTAAAACTAAATTTGCAGGATTTTTCAGACAATCAATGGATGATAAAATTTTTCAAAATAAAAAAGAAATGGTGAGGGGGAGAAGGGAAAAGAAAGTGAGAAAAAAACATGATGAAGCATATAAAAGAAATTAAGTTGTCATAAAAACAGAAAGTGGTGTACGTCTTCATATGAGTGGTGGTCAGAGGTAAAAGGAATAGGGAAAGTGAAGGAAAGGAGAGAAAGAGATATTATATTTCATATACCCAATAGAAAACAGACAGTAGATTGGCCAAATGAACCTTCAGAAATTAATGACAAAAACATCTATCATAATAATCAGAGATAAACCCAAAAATATAAAAAAAAGAGATAATTCAGAATTAAAGAGTATTAAATTAGCAAATAATATTGCGGGAAATATAAAAAAAAATATAAAGATGGGGAAATGAATATCGTAGGATGAATACATACAAATTAGCATATATCAAATTAAATTTATATTAATTAATACCCATCCACAAGGAAAAAAATTATATTTGAAATTTAACATACAATATAATTAAATGAAACTAAAATTGGAAAGGATGAATGAAAAGTACCTCAAGAATAAGGGAATTAAAGATGCCTTTAGAATCCAGAAATGATACAACATAAAAATAAATTATATATAAATATATTAATTAAATTAATTAAATAATCGTAACAAAAACTTTAAATAAATATAAAATATTACAAAAAATACTTAAATAATACAAATACAAAATAACCCTCACCAATATATATATATATATATATATATATATATATATATATATATATATATATATATATATAGCATTATTTATATTATTTGGACTATTGTCCTCATCTTTATCGCCATATTTATTACAACGTTTCAGTCATTGTACGCTCCGGCCTTTTTCAGGTGGTTAAACCCCTTAAAATTTATACAAAGATAAATATTCAGATGCCACTTCATCAAAACTCATAATACAATACATATTAATACAAAACACTTCAATACCACATATTATATTCCCTAGAGATAGTCGTAGCTAGCCAGGCCCTGCAGTGTGAAGCTTGCAAGCGCTACCAGGGTCAGGTAGATATAGGTAGATATAGGTAGATATAGGTTAAAAAAAATGTCTAACGAATTTGTAAACATGGGCACAGAATTGCAACATGAGTCGATACATTCGCGAGGTTAATACCCCGGAGGGGCGTATTCTGAAGTCGACCAAGGGTATGTACGAAGCATATTTTTCTGTGTCGATGAGTTTCGCAGGTATTTGGCTGATGTTCATCGGCTTTCGTCGACTTTAGCTGCTAGGGTGAGATCACAAAGGGCGAAGTTCACTTGGTATTGAAGAGGTCGGTAGTCTCCGGGACTTGATGATCTGCCCTATGTTATTGAGGCTGCCACACACGACTTTGACAGTGGTGTTCAACAACTTGTTCCGGCAGGGGTCTATCGGATCTCAAGGGGTGTGATCACGCTGTTGAAAAAGGGCAAGACTGTTGAGCGGGAATTTGGCCAAGATCCTGACGGAGCTTTTACAGTCAGTTGTCGCGAGCTCGTTGTGACCCGACCATACTTGTACTGTGAGGAGACGATCAATTCAAAATAAACTGCACAGGTCCGCACGATCATACAGGGTGTAGAAACGACTAGCAAACGGCGTTGATCAATTTAGATCACTTCAAAGCATTTGATAGGTTGACCCATCAGTACTTGGCGGCAGTGCTGCAGGCCGCCGGATTCTAACCCAATCGACCTCTTTTATTATTTTGAGGGGTGAACTAGAATTTGTTTTGATTTTATCTTTATGTTACATTTTTAATTTGTTTTCTGGGTTCATTCCCTCCCTTCATGAATCATGTAATTATTATATTTTTTGTCAAAAAGGGAATAAAGACATTTTGGACTTTCATCAAATTTTTGTCGTGGTGTGTTTTTTTAGGTCCCCTGTGAATATGCGGAATTGTGGTATATGCATGATTGAGAAGCAATGGATGAGTTCTTGAGGTGAATGAGTAAATTGTAATGAATGAATAGGCCGTGATTAATTAGGACTAGGATAGCTAATGAATACCAGACCCTCCATATTTCCCATTCAGCCTTGTGCCACAATTCTGCATGATACAGAATAAATAATTCGAATTACAGCCCATATCTTTTTGTCTGCCAGCTGGACGCTAGTTGGGATCTTCCCTTCGAGGGTGAGTATCACATTTCTGATTCTTCAGTCATGTGTCCGCGAGTTAATCAAAAAAGAGAAATCAAACTGGAACATATAATAGACATAGCGGATCTAGCCGACCGTTAAAAGCTACCGACAGGTAAGTTAGAAACTTGGTTCGTCAATGCAAATATGATCGATTCCTAACAGCCCTAGATTTTCAAAAGAGGCTAGTTTTGCGATTTCTTCATGAACAATCAGACGTAGACTTAAAGCAAAATTCTTTCTAAATACTTAAAAAAAATAACCTTTCGTATTTGGAAGAAAAATCGAAGAGAACGGTTGTCTTGGTGCAAAACTCATTTACACTGGAGTAAATCTGATTGGTAAGTAAAAATTCTATGTGGAGAAACGAGAGCCCCTTTACTCTTAGAGGATTACCAAATGCACTGTTAAACACGATAAAAAAATCAACTGGGATGTATTCTCAGCAGCAGAATTTGTTCAAAATCAAAGGGATATTAGGGCCAGCACCAATACCACGACATGCAACGAATTGTATTACTCACGTGTTTGCCGTCCAATTTTTGCCTCGTATTGTAAATGGTTGGTAGAACAGAGATTATCAGAGAGAGCAAAAGGACAAACTTTACTAAAGGAGACAAGGTACAGGAAGTTGTGGAGAGAAATGTTCGCCCACGTATTGAAGAGGCACGGCATATAGCAGAAGAATGTAAATAATGCAAATGTGGGTAACGTAATAGTTAACCGCACGAAAATTAGAATTGGCGTGCCGAGTTCAATTACGGCCTCAGTCAGTTTCGTTCTCTTTGCGCATTTACCCTTGACAAAAGCCTAAAGCTATCTTCTTCCGTCGTATATTTTAAATATCATGGCAGAAGGTATCAAGTCAGGTGAACGTGGTGGCCATTTTAATAGCATATTGTCATTATCACATGTACAGGGGGGCAACATTATTTTTGGGACACTTTGAAAAGTGTGCTTAAAGGTGTTTTTTGCTGCCGAGAGCTTTTTGTCTTGAGTAGGTAGTTCAGCAGTAACTGTCCATTAATGGTATGAACATTGATTGATGGGTTTGTCTTTGGTTTCATGTTTTCTTTATTTTTGCTTCAACTTAGGCGATACTATTTTTCGGACATGACACAAATTCCGGGTTTTTTAATGATTTAGTCGTCGAACGTCTACAATATGCAAATTTTCTGCAGGTAAATTGTACCCTGACCCTTACATTTGAGTATCTTTACCATTCACTGCGAAAACGTATTAAAATCCTGATGAAGAATGCATTCAAAAGAAGTCATCAGTTTGGTTCAAAAGAAGAGAGAAGACGAACTCAGTATCCGAAAGATCGCCGCTGAGATGAAGCTACCGAAGTCAACAGTTGAATACATGTTAAGAACAAACTATGAGCGGAAGAAGAAGAAGAAGAAGAAGAAGAAGAAGAAGAAGAAGAAGAAGACGGAAAAAAAAACAATTTCCAAGAGAACAGAAAGAAGAATAAAGAGGGTGTTACGAGGTTGTTATCATCTGGAGAAAAGGTGACAGCGAAGAAAGTAAAGGAGAAGTGTGAACTTGACGTCTGTATTCGAACTGTACAAAGAAAGCTACACGAAATTGGACTTAAGTATGCTAAAATCAAGAAAAGAATTACACTAACGAGAAAACACAAGGAGGCAAGGCTGGGAAGCGCCAAAAGATGGATAACAAACCATGTCGACTTCAAGAAAGTGATATTTATTGATGAAAAACGTTTTAAGGTCGATGGACCTGACAAGTGGTGTACATGGTCGAGAAAAGGTGAACCTGTTATTCTCAACAAGAGACAGATGGGAGGAGGAGGTGGAGTCCTGGTTTGGGGTATGGTATTTCTGAATGGAAATTTGTGGCTCGAGTGGTTAAAAGGACGTCAAAATAGCTTGAGCTACAGAGAACTTTTGGAAAAGAGAGCCCTACCAATCATAGAAAAAGAAATGGGAAGTAATTTCATTTTGCAGCAAGATAACTGCAGTATCCATGTGGCCAAATCAGTAAAAATTGGATGTGTGAAGCAAATATAACTACATTGGAATGGCCTGCAAGAGGTCCAGACTTAAATTTAATTGAAAACATATGGGAAATGCTTGCAGAGCTTGTTTACGACGGGCCAGAAATAACCAGAGAGGCTGAACTGTGGCAGCGCATACAAGATGCTAAAAATAGACTGCTAGAAACACGAAGAGACGTTACTATCAATATGTACGAACATTATGAAGATAGACTGATAGAAGTCATTGAAAAAAAGGGTGCTGCCATAAACTATTAGCATTGTTGCTGCAATGTCCGAAAATACTGTCGCCGGTGTAATGTAAAAATTTGTAAAAATAAAAATACTTCTAATTTGAATTCTGCTTTTCCATTTGTAGTATTGAAACAGTTTTTAAATGTTATTGCCATTACACTAAAACAGTACAGACTGCCTGTGCTATCTAAAACTTGAAAAAAATAGTGTCTGAAAAATAGTGTCGGACTCCTGTATGCCCGATCCATCTTAGATTATCACTGAGATAAATCCCCACTGAGGCGCTGGAGAATGTTACGCAAGACATGCCACAGCATATTTAGCAGGAGATGGACTACCAATTGTGTCGTGATTTATGTGATGACAACTAAGTGACAAGCTTTTACTTTGTAGAAACCACAAAGTTTATCCAGCGTCATTTCCATTGATGGAAGCAATCATGGAACTCCTTTTTCGGCATTGCGAGGAGCTGTCTCGTCACATTTTCTTGGATGTCCTCGATGTCTTCAAAGCTCGTTCTTTTCAAGTGAGATTTCATTTTTACAAAAATCGCAAGCGGTTAGATATGGGGAATATAGTGTTTGTCGGATCTGGGGAATGTTGTCATTGGTCGCTGCATAAGCCATGGTCACTGATGGAAACTTTGTGATGTGGTGAGAGGACCATTCTCTACACACATTCCTTCCAAGCACAGCTACAATCAATGGAGGTGAGCGAGAACATTATAAGCGTGTCATGCGATATCACTCTGCGTACTTTAGCACCGTTACCATAGAAATTCTCCCGACTCATGGATAAGACTTTATAATGTGCATATATATATATATATATATATATATATATATATATATATATATATATATATATTAATTTACTAATTGAAAAATATGGTTCCATCGCTACGCAAGAATTACCATGTTTCAAAAACAGTAACCAAAACTTTAGATTTAGTTATAGAATTAAATTAAAATCTTTAGTATTGTCTCATTTTCAAGCGTGCTTGAAAATGAAACAGTACTAAGTATTTTAATCAATTCGTACTTGAAGATATCCTCAATTCATACTTGAAGATTAATGCATTATATAAATATATATATATATATATATATATATATATATATATATGTGTGTGTGTGTGTGTGTGTGTGTTTGCGGACTAAAAGAGAAATGAGAGGTTGATGACTATAAATAAAACAATGCAGAAACATGTATGAACAGAAATAAATATGTTAATAGACAGTGATATATAGAGCGTGATTACTTTTCCCCCGCTTTTGCACTTTCCCCCTGGGTTATAACCTTGATTCCCTTGGTTATAAACTTGCTTCCACAACTTACTCTTATCTATAACTTTATTTTTTTTCTTAATTCAAGTTAACTCTGTCACATCTGCCTTTCCTGATTCATATGAAATTTATTTTCTCCCACAGAACAATTTGTCTTGTAAAAACCTTGCAGCATTGAATTAAAAAAAAAAAATTACGAGTTTATAATGGGAATTTCTAAATAATAATAATAATAATAATAATAATAATAATAATAATAATAATAATGGAGATCGTGGTTAACCGGATGTGGGGAATGAAGAGTGAGACTATACCAATAGTAATCGGAGCTCGGAGCTCTGGGCCTCGTAAGAAAAGAAATGGACAATTTTGTCCCAGGCAACATCAACATAGAAGCTGCGCAAAATATCACCCTACTAGGAACTAAGAAAAGTGCTATCATTTAAATGACAATTCTACTGTAGGGCCTAAGGAGCATAGTTTAAACCCGGCTCTACAGGATACAAAGCGGAAATATAGCATACACAAATAATAATAATAATAATAATAATAATAATAATAATAATAATAATAATAATAAATGCCCTGATCCTACCTCAGGAATGACGCTCATGACTATTGATATTAACAAGCTTTAGATGTAGAAAATTGCATAGTATTGATATGAACGTCATCCATATCTGTTTATAGACATAAAAATTATAACAATTTTATAGGAATTTACAATACACACAGACATTAATCAAAGTCTGTCAGACATCGTGATTAAATATCACAAGAACAGAATGTGTTTTCTTATTGACATAGCAGTTCCTGCAGATTGTAATGTATCTTTGAAGATCTATAAAAAAAATGAAGTATAAATCGCAAAAATGTGGCACATAAGAACATCAGTAACACTAGTTGTGGTTATGTCCTGATAGATTCATTGAATGGATTCAATATATGAAATAGAGCTTATAAAAACATATAATTCTGCATTTCTTTCATAATAACAAATTAACTCAAAGTTATATTATGGCATACTATTATTAATATATAACATTGTAGTGAAAGTATAATACTTATATGTAAAGGATAATTCAAGATAATTCAATAAAGGTAACTTCAGGTAAGAAAAAAAAGAAAAAAATGATGTCAATAAGGGTAATATTAAAGATATCATTGAAAATCATAAAGAATTAATAGTAATTCAGTGATAGAGAAAAGATATTTTTGTATATTGTAACAGAAGCGAAATATGGGAAGGATATATAAAGTGTGGAGGGGCAGAAGAATAACAGTGTAATTATCAAGATAGATATTTTTGTAAAATGTACCTTAAGAGAAATTTGGTAAGGATATATAAAGGAAAGAGGAGAAGTGGAATCATCATAGTATACTCCTATAAGTAGAAACGTGGTTATAGTTTTTACATGTAGAATGAAAAAGAAATAAAGCATAATAAATTTCAATAGGAATCTTTTGACGTTATCATTCAAAGCTTTGTTCGGGTGACTGGACTTATCCTTTTTGTTGCTTTTCTTGATATGGCAATATTTCGTCGGATCTATTCTACAGCCTGATTCAAGTATGCAATTTGTAAGGAGAAAAGTATTCTCTAAACTAATACCAATATGTCTTCATTACATTTAACAGGTGGGATAAAATAACATATCCACGATACCCTAATTGTTGTTGCATATATCATAGCATAGACATGGAAAGTGCTTGAATGATTTCAAAGCAGATTTCAGAAGCAAAACCGCTTCGCTAAAGTTATTCCTTAAAGAAAAATAGATGAAAAAAAAAATGCATTTACCTCATTCTATGTATAGGATATGGAAAAGGATATAAGCGAGATATTGTATCTGAAATTTCTAATCATGGAACAGGATAAGAGGGTAAGCAGGTTGGTCTGTTCCAGCTAAAGCATATCTGGAGAAAGAAAGACACGCATTGCTCTCCTCGATAATAGGGCATATCACTGCTGAGTCATGCCAATATAGATTTCTTTGTGGTAAAGTAATTTTTCGTTGTTTTATTGTTTCGCAAGAAAAGAATTGTAGATGATCCCACGTAACAAAAAATATGAAGCCATTTATGGTAAGAGAGGTTACTGTGAATGTAATTGCTGGGTGATACGTGACGAAGAATGAACTGCTGTTATATGAAATACATATACACTTCTTTGTCAACGAGAGAAAATAGAAAAAACAATGACGAATTAACAGGGGAAAGGAAACATACACAATACTGCTTAGCATGGAAAGTTAAGAACAAAAAACATTACTTTGTAAGACCAAAGTCTACACAGACAAATATTGTGTATAAAAATACCTAGATGCAAACAATTGAAACAGTGCACACACACACACTAACACTAACACGCGCGCGCGCACACACACACACACACACACACACACACACACACACACACACAAGGACACGTATACACACACGCACACGCACATATACACAGGTTGAGATGGATAAATTGTCGTCTAAATTACTCAAAAATGAAAATAATACTGACATCTCATTTTAATAGATATATTTATCAAAATTACACGAAAATATCCTGAAATACTAAAGAGTAAATTTATTCAGTAAAATCGCTATTGGTAACAACGACCTTCAGACGACTTCGGAATCTCCTGCTACTCTTCTGGACGGTCTTCTTGTTTATGTTGGTAAATGCTGCCATAATTCTTGCCTTCAGTTCATCTTTGGTGTTAAAAGAAGTTTTGTTGGTCTCGCCCTTAACTGCGCCACACACATAATAATGAAAGGGGTTGCAGTCTGGGGAGTTAGGTGTCCATATGTAAGGGGTAATGTGGTCGCAGAAATTGTCTTACAGCCATGATTGGGTTTTCCTGGTTGTGTGGCATGGTGCAGAATCCTGTTCCCAGACAAAGAGTCTTCCAGCTGTACTCTTTTGACCAAAGGCAGAACTAACACCTCAAGGCACTTGATGTAGGCCTCCGTATTCAGACTGAGCTCATGTGGGAAGATGAATGGCGGCATAACGTTACCATTACTAATGATCACACCATGATGTTGACTGGATGTATCATTGAACGCTTTCTGAATTCATTGCAGTAAAGACAGATTGACACCCAAGCATTCTGAAATGTTCGTATTGGAGCTCCCGACGCGAATGATAAGG